CTTATTTTCATATTGTTAATTAAATTCTTGCCTTCACAAATTCTCTAGAGCCTTGCATGCTGCTGATGAAGCTCATTAGGCTGTGGCTGTGCATCTCCCTGCCTTCAGTTCTTTTGGGTACATTCTATGTATTTCAGTAACAAATCTGTTTAGTCAGAGCTAGAACACATTTAGAAGCCTTGTTCTTAGTGCTCCAGTGTCACGGATGAATTCTTCTTAAATTCTGAAACGAGCTATCTGAATTCTTTAATCAAGCCAATGGAACTTCTGCTTTGCCTCCCCATCCCATCTTTATTCTCATGCTTGATATCATTACTTTCACTGAAAAAGATGACAAAGAATTTGTTTAAAATAATCTGCATATGATTGAAAGAAATAAGCCTCCCTTTCCGCTTACCAACTTCCCTCATCCAGTTCTTTTTACATTAATGTGCCTGAAGACTGCTGTAGTTGGCTTTCCTTCAGAAAGCCAGGCTGTTTGTGGCTCTAAAAAACGTACTTATATTCCTGCAGTTCTTATTCTGGTGACACTGCTACTGCTTCTCCCTCCCAAACTACAAATCCCTCTGCAAATTCTCCTATTAATGTCTCAAGATAGAAAAACAGAAAACTTGAAGTTCTTCCCATCCATTTTTTGACAACACTTGAAAAATCACTTCTAAAACCATATCACTGGCTTCAAGGTACAATTCAATATTATTCATAGTTTTGGTTTGCTATTGCATCCAACCTGCATAATGTTACAAGTAGTACAAACTCAGATATGACAAAAGCCACATCCACTTTTGTGTCCAACCTCTGCTTTTTTCTAAGTGGCCAACAACAAGGGCGAGGGCACCTTTATAGGTGTTCTTCCTAAGACACTCTATGGATCTTCATCTCTTAGCAGTATTTGGCAAGAAAGCAACTTGCTAAATATTGCAAACCTTGCAACCCAAGGTGATCTAATTACATCTGGAAACTGATCCCAGGAACAGATGCTGGATGCCTCGAGAAGAAAGGATGCATGATAAAACCATGCAGACCTCTTGGAAAAATGGATTTAAGAACGCGTACAATGAATGACCACTCCTCAGCTTTAGCCACCGTGATATGACAGTTTGTTTTTTTTACATGTTATCATCCTGAGCTTGTTTAATTTCCTGAATTATTAACAAATACTGACTTAACTCCTGGGCAACTTATACAAATATGATGTTCACATCAGAACAAGTTCTCAGATAGCGAACACAGCATAAAATAATGCTTTCAGAACGCTTGTAAAGACAGAAAGCTCCATGGAAAAGACTGATCTGCCTTCTGTCACTCTCTGAAGAACTTCTAGAAATGCTGAAGCACACTGCTGCAGCAGTGCTCCCTTAACTGGATTGCTTCAGTTCTCCAGCAACCAAAGTATACCGGACCACTTCAAAAAACCATCTGCTTAAAGAAAGGCTGCTAGTCCTACAGACTCACTGCAGGTCGAGCCCAACCTTACAGTATCTGCTGTATAATAAAAGAGTGACATTTGGAGACGAGCTGGGCAACAAAATCTGATTCCTAGGGTTTTCTTTCACTTTAGGAATGAAAAGACCAAGCATTCGGAGTTACCCTGGAGCTCCACAACATTTAAAAACAAACTAGCAATCATGTGATGAGAAGTTATTCATCATTTGAAAACTATTTGCTTTCCTGAGCACGGCGCTGCCTTCCAAAGCAGAGAACGCAACCTCCTCAGGTTCCTAGATTCTGCCCTGTCACAGAACGTGCAACGACTGCAGAAGTTTAAACGTCAGATGCATCCCTTCATGTAAGACTTGAAAAAAAGAGTTTGAATTGGATCAAATGCAAAAAAAAAAATCCTTCCTGCAACAGCCTCGCCAAGATTAAGTTGGAGAGCGAAGGAGGAAACGCAACGAGGGCACAAAACACCTACGAAACACAGGACACGGAGGGCCTACGGGACGCCGGCGGTGCACGGCTGTCGGGAGGCCCCGTCTCCTCCAGGCAGCCCCGCACGGCACGCTGCCGCCCGGCCCCGGCACCCCACAGCCCGCACCGGCGGCGGCTCGCCCAGCCCGGAACCGGGGCGGGCTCCCGGGGCCCAGCACCGCACCCCTCACCTGGCAACCCTTCTTGTGATGGAAGCCCACCACCACGATGTGCAGCACTGGACCCCGCGGAAGGGCGGCCGGCGGCGCGCCCCGCTTCTCCATGGAGCCCGGCGATGGCCGCTCGGGAGGATACCGCCCGGGCCGGGCTCTCGCTCCGCCTCCCGGTGCCGAAGACCGGAGGGACGGACCTCAACCGACTGCGCTTCCGCAGCGCCCGGCGGGAGGAGGCGGGGCGGGGCCGCCCTCGTTCCCCTCGCCCTGCCCCCAGCCGCGTTGTGTCCCCCGGCTCCCGGCGGTACTCGGCAGCGAGGAGACCCGCGTGGAAAAGTGCTTGGTTTTATTAAAATTTAAGGGTGCTTTATTAAAATTCAAGGGTATTTTATTAAAATTTCAGCAGGGATGCTGCCGGCTGAGAAGGGAGAGAGAGAGAGAGCTCTTCTCTCTTTTAACTCAGAGCCCCGTCACAGTGCAGAGAGCTGCATCTGCACCCTGCCTCGTCTCGGGTGGAGGCCGTGCAGGCCCATGGCAGGCCGAGCTGGAGCCCGATATGATGTCAGTGCACTCTGGTTGCTGAACGTCAATCAGCAAAATCGAGTTTGTGCTGCTGCTGCTCATGCTGTTCTGCTGTTAAATGTGTATTATGGTAACCTGAGAGAGATGGTTCAAAGGCTTATCTGAGAGCGAGTGCAAATGTAGGGAGGCAAAAATGAACGATCCTCAACTGCCTGCCCCCTGATCACGCTCCCTCATTAACCTTGGTGATTTGGTTCGGTTTGTTTAAACCATCAGCACTTAGCAGAGATGGTGCTCACGTCTCTAAGGTCCTCTGTGGAAATCAGAGGAAGATGGTCTTTTTGAAAAGAACTATAAAAGAATAGTGCTCAGAGAAAATCTCATTGCTAATGCAATACACAGAGGCTCAAATTATAACAATAAAGCATGTAATTACGTATTGTTCCTCCGTTTCAACAAAGGTGCCATTATATATACTTTAGGGAGCAAAAGATAAGCTGCAAGGAATAATCCAGCACTGGCAACTGAATGAATTCTTACTGATTTTATTCTGCAACTTACTTTGATGATATTTAATGTAATTAAAAAAAAAAAAAAAAAAGGGAAAAAAAGAACCCAACCTTATCCATTATCTCTCGCAGAAATGAGATAAAGCAAGAGAAGACAAATGGGAGTACTTAGAACTCATCCTCAGTTCATTAAATAAAGGGCAGACTAGCACTGCTCTCACAGCTACAGGTTTGCATTCCTGAGGCTTCTCCATGATACTGCTGAATAATGGTGGCTTATTGCTTCTCTGAATAGATGATTGGATTTTTTTCACTGCTTGAAATTTTCTTTCTCACTAAGGCAATAAAAATGTTAAATGTGGGACTGAACAGTGCGAGCCTGTTCCAGGAAAACTGATTGACAGCATCCTTCTTCACAGCTGACATGGTTGTTTTTTATGAAAAAGGAAGGAAGGGTAGAGCTGCAACCAAACAGAAGCTCTTAGAAAAGAAGTTCCTACTGGAGTTTTCTTTCTCAATGTATATCTAATAGATATCAATAAAAATTCAGCCATATATACCAGAGCTGCTCTAAAAGTAGTGCCTCCTGTCTTATTATGTTGGCCCATGATGTCAGAGGTGGATGTTGGTGTTATGGCAGTAGGGGTTGAACCTTCTTGCCAATATTCCTGCCAATATATTTTGTTGCTGTGTGACAGCTGGTAGCAGAGGGGCAGTCTGACCAAGTGGCATCTGACATGGAAGTGTATCTGAAACAAAGGTGTGGAACTGAATTCCTCTGTGTGGAGAAAATGGCACCCATTGGCAGCTGGGGCTGTTCAGCCTGGAGAAGAGAAGGCTCTGGGGCTTCTGATAGCAGCCTGTCAATATAAAGGGGGGATATAAGAAAGAAAGGGACAAACTTTTCAGCAGGGCCTGTTGTGAGGGGACAAGGGTAAATGGTTTCAAGCTAAAAGAGAAGAGACTTCAAATGGGTATAAGGAAAAATTTGTTTACAGCGAAGGTAGATGTTCAGAGGGCTGGAGTACTTCTCCTGTGAGGAAAGGTTGAGTGAACTGGGATTGTTCAGCTTGGAGAAGAGAAAGCTTCAGGGAGACATATTGCAGCCTTCCAGAACTTGAAGGGAGCATATAAACAGGAGGGGGAACGGCTGTTTATGAGGGTGGACAGTGATAGGACAAGGGAGAATGGTTTTAAACTGAGACAGGGGAGGTTTAGGTTGGATATGAGGAGGAAGTTTTTCACCCAGAGGGTGGTGAGGCACTGGAACAGGTTGCCCAAGGAGGCTGTGGATGCCCCATCCCTGCAGGCATTCAAGGCCAGGCTGGATGTGGCTCTGGGCAGCCTGGGCTGCTGGTTGGTGACCCTGCACATAGCAGGGGGTTGGAACCAGATGATCTCTGTGGTCCTTTTCAATCCAGGCCATTCTACGATTCTGTGATTCTATGACCAGAGAGGTGGTGGATGCCCTGTCTCTGGAGGCATTCAAGATCAGACTGGATGGGACTCTGAGCAACCTGCTCTAGCTGTATGTGCCCCTGTTGACTGCAGGGCATTGGACTAGATAACCCGTAAGGGCTCCTTCCGACTCAGTTCTGTGATTCTATGGTTCTGTGTGAGCACAGCAGAGCAGCAGGCAAACTGGCAGCAGTGACTGTGGTAACTTTCACTGGGGCAGATTCTAATGAGCACAGCATGCAGGCTCTTGCTCTTGGCTGGGGAAAATGCACAGCTAATGGTGGTGACTATGTTGAAAAACAGTTTTGTAGCTGGGAAATCGCTCTGTTGAGCAGTGTTATTGCACTCCTCCTTGGAAATAAATAGGAGGTGAAAATCTGGTAAAACACCATTAGAGGGGAAAAGCGCCGGCGGCCGAACGAGGGCTCTGCCGGCTGCTACTCAGGGCTGCGTCCCGCCCTCCACAGTCTCTACTTCGGCGGGAAGCGGCAGCGATTGCCCAGGTCTGGCGGCAATATGGCGGCCAACGCGAGCACCAACCCGTCGCAGCTGCTGCCGCTCGGTGCGCTGCGCTGCAGGCGGGCTCCCGCGTGGGGTCGGGCGGGGAGGGAGGAGGGCCGTGACCGCGGTGGGGGAGGCCATGACGGGGTAACTGGGGAGATACGTGCGGCGGGCGTAGCGTTGCCGTGAGGGAGCCGTTGCTCCCGGTCGGTCGGAGATGGTGGGAGCTGGAGCGTCGTACCGTGGCTCGGCCGCCTCGGAAGGCACCTCTGGGTCGATTGGGTTCGTGTAAATACACTGACGCACTTTATTGTTGTGGTTTTTACGCCTACAGAGCTTGTGGACAAATGTATAGGTTCTCGCATCCATATCGTGATGAAAAGCGATAAGGAGATTGTCGGGACGCTGCTGGGATTTGATGACTTTGTCAGTATCCTTTGGTGGATGTTATCTGTGGGCATCAGCTTCATGGGGGGACTCAGCTCGTTTATTGTTCACTATATTAAGCTGTTTGGTATCAGGTTTTGGTTTGCTTCTGGGTTTGTTTGTTTGTGTTTTTTGGCGGCGAAAATCATAGTTTAGTGTAAAATAGAAATGAATTGCTCAACTCTGCCCTTGTGAGGCCCCATCTGCAGCACTGCGTCCAGGCATGGGGTCCCCAGCACAGGGAGGATGCAGAGCTGTTGGAGCAGCTGCAGAGGAGGGCCATGAAGGTGATCAGAGGGCTGCAGCACCTCTCCTATGAGGGAAGGGTGAGGGAACTGGGATTGTTTAGCTTGGAGAAGGCTCCAGGGAGACCTCACTGTGGCCTTCCAGTACTTGAAGAGAGCTTATAAGCAGGAGAGACTTTTTACATGGTCTGGTGGTGATGGGGAAAAAGGGAGATGGTTTTAAATTGAAGAGAGGAGAGTTAGAGTAGATGTTAGGACGATTTTTTTTTCACTGAGAGGGTGCTTAGGCAATGACAACAGGCTCCCCAGAGAAGCTGTGGATGCTTCTGTTCCTGTGTACGAGGCCAGGCTGGATGGGCCCTGTGGCAGGATGATGTAGTAGGTGGCAGCCTACCCATGGCAGGGGGTTGGTCTTTATTGAGGACTGGGTGGGCTTTAAGGTCCCTTCCAACTTGAGTCATTCTATGAAAAGAAATCTGGACCTTATTTTCCTTGAAACTGAACTTTCAGATATGGTGTTAGAAGATGTTACAGAATTGTAAGTATTGCTTTTGCCTCTCGTTGCTATTTAAACTTGGCTTTCCTCAGAAAGAATGTGGTATAAGGTCTGTTCAAACACAAATACTTACAAACTGAGCAGTTTTTATCCTGGACCTAAACTATACAGGATGATGTGTTCAGGACAGCCATGTCATAGAGTAGTTTTGCATGATTTATTTCAGTGAATGCTCAGAACCAAATTCCTAGTTTGTAACCTTAATTTTGCATGGGTTCTCTGTTGAACTTTCCAGTTGTGGTTTTTTTACATTTCCACAATAGCTAGTTAATTAATAAGTTGTCAGACTAAATGATTAAATACTTTTTACCTTATGCAGCGTTGCTCTTTGAAACCTATTTTGAGGATCAGTGTTATTGAAGAAATTGCCAAGTTTTAGAGGGCAAATCTGTGTTTTTATGTGCTGAACAGAAAAGTACAACAAATTTATTTAGTTGCCAAGTGACTTTCCCTGCCTAGGGGGTCAGTGTGTCAAGATGATGCTGCAGTGTTATTCCCAGTAAATGTCATCTTAATATGTGGATTTGCATCAGTGCTGCAATCAAAACTGTAACCATTGCTGATGATTATATGCTCATATTTTTTTCTAATATTGCTTCAGTGAGATCACACCTGAAGGCAGAAGAATCACAAAACTAGACCAGATTTTGCTAAATGGAAATAACATAACAATGGTAAGTCATCACTGCAAAAAGTCTGCTTGTGTTTCTTTTCTTTACCTGTAAATCTGTGATTGAATTCAACTACTTGAGCTACTTACCTAGTTTCCAAGGCATATGTCTTTATGAGTGATGCTGGAAATGTGATCTTATTGCTATATTTCATGTATTTTACAGTTTAAAATGCATGACAAGAGGAGTGTGAGCATGACGACAATTTTATTTTGGTAAATGCATTTTTGGTTTTTAATAAGGTGTGTGAGGGAATCTTTGGAAGAGTCTGGTTTTTAACTCATGAGTGTCTGTAAGTCTCTGGAGTGGGATACATCCATTATGTCCAGATGTGTTTGCAGCAGCTTGGATGCTTACAAGCTTGTTAAGTTACTTGGCTATTATTAATCATTATCATGTGATGTCTAGCACTGACAAAAATAATAAGATGGAGCTTTGTTGGACTATAACAAATCAGAAGCACTTCTTGTTTATTACTGATGTGTGTAGATCAGTACTAAAACAATAATATTGCAGTTATGCATCACTAAGTGAATTCTGCAGCTTCTTAGATACTTTACTACAACAGCAGACTCGGAGTGCTTCATTTGCTTACCTGCACAGATGGCTGCAAAATCTGGACTTCCTGCATAAGGGCATTTGTGCTTTGGTGGCAAGAGAGGAGGAGGGCTGACTTGAGTCTGTCTGCTCTGTGTGAATGGGGAATAATCTCCACATTGCTATCTCACCGTTCTGAGTAAACGCTATTTTGACTTAATTTCAAAACCTTTTCTTGCTTTTATGGGTAAAATAATTATCATCCAATTGGTCCGGAGGCATTCTTCCCTTGAAGAAGGTGCTAGTGATCCTTAAAGTACACATATTCAGCAAAACCCAACTGTGCTTCTGTACTGGGGATCTTGTGCCTCTTTTAAGGGTACATCTTACTACATCAAGAAAACGATGCCATAAAATTACTGACTCTGTCTCAAGAGCACTCCAGGTCTTTGTATTTTGGAGGTGTGCTGCTCATTGTTAAGAAAATACAAGTAAAATGATTTTTTATCTTTTTTTCCCTTTACCTTTATTTACCTTTTTTCTTTAATATTTCCTTTTATATTTACTCCTCAGCTCTTTATTCACAGGAAAATACTGTGCTGGCTTGTTTCCTACTGTCTGTAGAAAGGTTCAGTCTTACATATATACCTGTAGAAGCTTTGCTTATCACTAAAAGTCAGAAAGAGCAAAAGAACTTTTCAGCATAGCAGTGGTCTGGAGAAGAATCGGCAATTGAAGAAATGCTCTTGAAAGGAGACATGATTCTTTGTCCTTTTGAAAACAAACTGTAGAGTTCCGAGATGGAATCATCATCTTGGAATGAATAACAAGGACAAAAAATATACTATGTGTTATTTAGGAATCCTTCCTGCACACTGTTAAGCGTTCTTTGTATTTTAGAGTTTCTCTTTGACATGCGCTCCTCTTTTAGTGACTGACTTCCTTTTTTGAGACAATAATGAATCGAAAAACTATTTTTGTGGTCTACTGTGAAGTTCTTACCTGCTAAAATGTTTTAAAGGAAGAACTGTCATGTATGAATTTGAATAACTCAAAATCCATGGTGCTAAGACAAAATTATCTTCTTTTGCAGCTGGTTCCTGGGGGAGAAGGACCTGAAGTATAAATTGATACAGATGTCGTCTCTGAAGACATGTTATACATCATCTAAGCAGAGCCTTGGGGTGTGGGTGGGTTTTTTTGGTTGTTTGTTTGTTTACATACTATCAATTTTGACATTTGATAAAAAACAAAGATTTCCTGTTCAGGAAAGGTGCATTGCTAATGCTGACTTTGTAAGTTGAAATCATGACTTTCTTGTAAAGACATACTGATTTGCTCAGAATAAAGGCTTTTGTTTTGTTAAGTGTTGTATTTTGTCATGTAAGAGCATCAGATTATAAGAGCTGTTTTTCTATTCCATCAATCAGTTTAAAACCGTGTTTCAGTTACGTTCAGCTTTCTGGTTTTCTGTTTATTGCATTCATTTATGGCCCAGTCCTATATAAAATATGAGCATATTTCTTAATTGGAATACAGTCAACACAAAGGTGGATCCTTTGTTTAAACTCTGCTTCATGCTGTGGCACCAGAAGCCATGTGGAAAAGTGCTGTAGGATTCTGGTAGCACTTGCCAAGTGAATGCATCCATTTGATGCTCAGCAGCCTTTGGCTCTGCTGTGTGAGTTTCAGCTCTCTTGGCCATCTTTTGCTTGGTACATACACTTTCTTACAGTAAAGATGCTAACTATATTTGGCACATAAGAGCAGACAGGCCAGACCTCAGTCCATATTTAGCAGTAAAAGGCTGGTAAAACTTTTAAATTCGTATCAGTGATGATTTCATCTTCACCACTAAGTGGTGCTGTTTATACTTTTAAGCTAGGAGCTGCACATGGCAGCTTAGAGTTTAGGGTTGTCAGTTTAGTCAAAAGATCATCTCTCATTTTGTTTTCCTGTGATTTAAGGAGTTGGCAGATGCTGGGGGTAATTACTGCTTCAGGAGAATTTCTATGAAGTAAGACATTGGTGTATGTGTTGATCATTCAGGTGAGCAAACATCTGATTCTGAATCATGTCCAGTGCAGCTTGTACTTCCATCATATACTACTTACCTGATTCCTGTGTTTGAAGCTCTTTGGTGAAGAACTGCGGGTGCCTGCTGTTGCTACAGATACATAGGGTAGAGTATGGACTCAGGCAGGAGGAAATGACTTACCTTCCCATTACCAGAAGTGGAAACAAGAGTTGAAGGAAGGAGTTTGGGAGCAGAATTCTGTGAGGAAGTAGCCTTGGGTCCTTTTGCTTTGCTGTATCTGACAAAGAGCTGTGTTCTATTAGCTGGGTTTCAGATTGACATATGTTGAGTATTTCTTACTTTAGCTTTTTCAGGGGAAAGAGGTGCTCTCTTCTCCAGGGAACATGCTCATTAAGACCTAATTCTTCTGGATATATCATCTGCAGTTGTCATCGTTGAATCTAAGCATTACATTTATCCTGGCTTGTATCAGGAATGGTGAACAGGACCAGGGCAGTCATCCTGCCCTGCACTCGGCATTGGTGAGGCCTCACCTCAAGTGCTGTGTTCAGTTTTGGGCACCTCAGCACAGAAAGGACATGGAGGTGCTGGAGCAGGAGCAAAGAAGGGCAACAAGGCTGGGGAAGGGCTTGGAGAATATGGCCTGTGAGGAGAGACTGAAGGAACTGGGGCTGTTCAGTCTGGGAAAAGGAGGCTGAGGGGAGGCCTTATTGCTCTTCAAATACCTGAAAGGTGCTTGCAGCAAGGGTAGGGCTGGTCTCTTCTCACTGTTCTCAAGTTGCACCAGGGTAAGTTTATGTTGGATATCAGGAGAAACTTCTTTACCGAAAGGGCTGTTAATCACTGGAATAGGCTCCCTAGGGGGGTGGTTGAGTCACCATCCCTGGATGTGTTTAAAAACTGGATGTGGTACTCAGGAACATGATTTAGTTGTGGGGAGTTAGGGTAGTATGGTTAGGTTGTGGTAGGACTTGATGATCTTTACTGTCTTATCCAACCTGAGAATTCTATGACTGACTTCCTGAATGGTTTTTCATTTCCAGCTTTTTAAAAAGTATGTCAACTAAAATACTTAAAACAAAAAACACATGTATTTGATTAAAACATCTTTGTTTGGATCCTTATTTCCTAGAAATGAGTCTTTTCACTGGAGCACGTCGAAGCTTTCTAGCCAGCATAGTAGTTCTATACATATTTTAGTGTATGCCATGCAGTGTTTTGAAAGCATTGCTGAAGAGTAGGGTTTATTTGTGTTGGGAGGGAAAAAACAGATACTGGCTTAAAAGCAACCTTTCAAAGGGAAAGGGAAACTTGTTTCTTTCAGGAGTTTTATTCAAGCAGCACAGATATTTTATGCTGTCAGGATTTTGTTTCTTCCGGAATTAAAATAGAAATTGTGTTCCTTTGCTTCCTTGTTCTGTTGGTTGTATGCTTCCCTCAGAGGATGTGCTAAGCGTTGTCTCAGGAGGGCATTTTCCTTCATGACTTGCAGACATCACTCTGAAGACAGTTTCATTTCTTCTAAATGCTGTTCACATTTAATGCTGCTCGCGTTGTAAGATGGAAAGATTTGTAACTATGAGCTGAAAATTTGAAAGCATTCTGGAGTGGTCTGATCTGCATTGTGTTTAGTAGTCCCATCAGCTGTTGCTTTGAAAGTGCAAGGAAGCTTTTTCCTGCTGATTTCATGATTTATTTTTTTTCTTCATTTCTCTATTTACTTCTTTGACATGCAGGAAGCTCCCAAAGGATGGGTGGTGTCACAAGCACTCAGGCAAAAGGATTTCCACTTTAATTCAAATAATTGGCATGTGTTTGTTAGGTTGCTGATGCCTATAAAAAGTATTTCACTATGGTAATAGTCCCAGGTGACAAAGTGGATAGGTCTCTTGTTTTAATTAAGCCTCTCTTGCATTGCAGATTTTCCCATCCCATCCCCCATCAAGCTTATGTAAAAAATCAAGTAATGGGGCCATCTTGAAATAGAAATGTTAGTGGGTTTTAAGGCAGGGTGAATTGTTCTTTGGTCTGCCTTACACTATTCTGTAAGTTTGTTTTTTTTTTGTTTGTTTGTTTTGCCCAGCAATTGCTAAATTAAGCTTCATGCTACTGCTACTTATTATGGTCATTTAGAGGGAAGAGTGAATGAATACATTGTGGCTATATTGCTGTAGAGAAATTGCAGTTATGGCTAGTAATTATGGCCATATTACTGTAGGAAAGAGACTGAGCTTCTGTGTTCTATTCATACTGGATACACATTCTTTGTTAGCTATGTATAACTAATTATCCACACACTTAGCTAGTAATTAGAGTTCATAGAGTGGTTTGGGTTGGAAAGGATGTTAGAGATGGTCTAGTTTCAAGCACCCTGCCATGGGTAGGGACACCTTTCTCTAGACCATGGGCTGCTCAGTGCCCTATCCAGCCAGACCTTGGGACATCCACAACTGCAGTGCCTCATGACCCCCGTATGAAAGAATTTATTCCAAATATCCAATCTAAATCTACTATCTAATTTAAACTATCCTACTGCTGTACTCTTGGTGAAGAGTCCCTCTCTAGCTTTCCTTGGGCTGAACACCAAGCAAGGGTTTTGAATTCACAAAGTAATGTGTGATGGCACCAGGCGATGGACTGTGACCTGGTGGCCCTCTACTGCATATACTGGGGCACAGTAGAGCCTCGCCCAGCCAGGCTTGTCTTGTCTCAGGCTGAGCACATTTGTGAGGCTTGGAAAAACTAGCAGGTCTTCCTTGGGTTGTGCTGTGGGGCTCTGGGAGATGTGTCAGCGCCCATCCCTACAGCATTGCCTGCATTTCCCTGGTCCTGCCTGGCTCAGGCAGCAGGGCCCTAAGAAGTGCGCTTGAGACAGCAGAAGTGAGCAGTGTGGGGGCATGGCCCTGCAGTAACTGTGCGGTGGGTGCTGGGGTTCAGGAAACTGCTAGGGCTGCAACTGATGCTTGTCCCTGTGCCAGAGGGGAGCATGAGATGGGCCAGCTGTAGGGTCAGGAGGGTTTCTGGCTGAGGGTCTGGGATACTGCTACTTGCTGCAGGGCAGCCACTGACAGTGGCCTCCTCGGAGTGTGAAGCCCCTGCTGTAGTGGCACAGCAAGGAAGCAGCTGTTCATCTCCCAGCCCACTGCAGTGGGAAGGGCATGAGCAAGGAGGAATCATTTTTCATCTGCTGTAACTGGAGGCTCTGACACCTGCATGGTTGCCTGCAAGCACACGTTGTGCCCCTGCTGCATCCTCCTGTGGACCAGGAGGAAACAACTCACCTGCTGGCTCTGCAGGAGGCTTATGAGTGCCCTCCACTCCTCAGTGCAGGCAGATGGCTCTTTGCCTTGTGTTATCACGCTGCCATCAGAGTGCAAAGCAGAGAGCCACCAGGCAATCTCCTTGCAGCCCACTGCCACCTCATGCCCTGCTCCATCGGGCAGCCCTGCAAGTCCCACTGAGGAGGAACTCCTCAGCACTCCCCACACAACTCCTGGGGATCTCAATGCACATCCCACCATGCCCATCTCCAGGGAGATAGAGGAGCCCCAGGGGGAGCTGGAGTAGGTGGCAGGAGTGGGACCTTACGCCAGGGCTGCAGGTATAGCCCTGCCACTCCTGGCTGGAGCAAAGACCACTTCATCCAGGATTCAGTGTCCCAGGAAGAGAAGGGCTCACAGTACTGAGGGCATTTCACAATACTGAAAGAGGCCATCCCCATGGCACCATGAGCAGGGCTTACCTGGATCTTTAATAATCAATTATAATAAAACAAAAATGTAACTATTCCATAGATAATGTCTCAATCTTACTCAGAGCAGAGCTTGTGGATGCTGTTATCAATGGAGTGTGGTGTTTCTGGCTACAGGATACAAGGGTTTGAACTCAGCAGTTCCCAACACAGTTCCCTCGGTCCCTGTTGCTGCTACCAGAGAACAAAGGTCAGCACTGCCCTCTGCTCCCCTGTGAGGAAACTATAGGTCTTGTGTAGAATGGTGTTCAAAATACCAAATCAAGGAATGGCTGTAGCCAAGCTGGGATGCATGAAGAACAATGCAAATAGGAACAAGTTGCATATTTTGGTTGCACTAGCCTCTCTGTGCAAAATTTCAAAGGATGTAATGATGTTGGGTACTGTGAATATTTGGAGAAATGATTAGTGCTGAAATTCTGAACTTGCAGGTGAGATCCACCATTGAAACATGACTTTTCTAAGGGAAGAATTCCACTACCAGTGCTGTCTGGTGAGAATGTTACGACTTGGAATTTTCTTCTAATGTTGTAGTGTTAGGTGACATTTCATGGGTTTTTGCAGATATTTCACAAAG